AGGAGGAGAAACAGCGATCTTTCAGCCAGAGCTCTTTCCCCGTGGTCGCGTGTCACGTAACTTCCATGACGTAGCAACGGAACTTCCAAGGTTGTTTTAACAACGATCTTTACCGAAACATAACTATGTAGTTTGGTTGCCTAAACCTAACTAAGTTTCCTTAGAAGACGGAAGTTTATTTGGAAAAGACTGTATGCATTTAACGAGCGGAAATGAACACGTGTTGCTAGCTTTCGTAAGAAATCGCACGAAAAATGATCGCACGATATTTTTATCATATCGATATCATACCGTGTGAGGATACGTTGGCCAGAGACTTAAACCGGCATCTCGTAGCAGAACGACAGAGGTAGAAAAATAAAATGTTTCCAGACATCAAAGCAGAGGGATGCGCAGTATATTATTCGTCAGCGTTGTTTTCATGTCACGATGCAAAACAAATCCGTTGACTCTAAACTCGGTGGAAGGTCTGGACCCAGCCAAAGCCGTACCGGCATTCTCCCTGAAATGTTACGAGGTCTTGAGGTGGGTTATTGAGGTACAGATTCCCCTGAATATCGGTGAACACTTCAGGGACAGACTGCATGTGTGAAAGTGTCTTACCATAGGGGCATCCAAGGGGGCACTTTTACTGCGTTTTATTCAAACATGGGGGCACCAGTGTGTAGAAACAAACTCAACTCTCAAAACAATTTTCCACATGTCTGAACACCCAAAAAAAAAAACCACACGTCTCTGCCTCCGCTGTTATCTCTCTATTGTACTTTCAGATAACATTTGCTACAAAGAATATCGGTCATGGAGGTTGAAGTCAAACAACGAGATCGTTTTCTGCCTCAACTAAACAACCCAAACACCAGTGTGTGTCGAATCATTTCAGCTCACACATTACAAGTGTGTGTATATATGTGTGTGTGTGTGTGAGTGTGTGTTTTCAGGATATTCCCAGAGCCCCTTTCAGCCATGAACCGCCAGCCTTCTCGCCCCTATCTCCCCCCCTCCAAAACCTGTCAGCTCTGACAACATGGTAATTAAGTGGGAGCTACTTGTCAAAAAAGCTGCAGTGCAACACATTTCTTATTGGATTACAAGGTGCATGGGAGGGAATGCATGGACCGGCCGGTGTTCCTCCGCCTGCTGCTGCTGGTAGACACAAATGAACAGAGACCCTCCACCGTTTCCTTCACGCCCGCTGATCGCCGATGCAAAATACAGCATGTGCCATTTACTTGTCGAGTCAAAATAACCCACCGTGGGACTTTTCTGTGACCGTGTGTGTGTTTGAGTCTGAGGTGCTTAATAGATTCTAAATGTGCAAACAGGATTGTGGCGTATCAGATGGTGCTGGGAGTTACTGGCGTGACAACGGCAACAGTGGAACGGATGGCTTGATTCAACACCTGGAGAAGGGTTCATCATAGGTGTGTGTGTGTGTGTGTGTGTGTGTGTGTGTGTTACGGGTTGAGATGACTCGGGCTGCGATAAAGCAATAAACCAACCACACAGTCACTGGCAGGGCAGCTGAACACTATATGGGCAGGAGAAGAATGGAGCTGTTGTAATGTAGCAGGGGAATTACCTACGCGGGCATCACACCATTTTATTTACATTTGTTTTTAAGTTTTGTTCCAACAAATGAATACATATGATCACTGTTGACCAATTCTCCACTCTGACTGGTCTCTGCATTCACTGATAAACATGATTAGGATAAGATTAAAGCTGCTTTGAGCTGGATTGCTAACATGCTAATGTTTGCAAATTCACCGGAAAAAAAAAACAGCCCCAGAACAAATGAACACAAAAGTGTATATGGACAAAGAAGTGCACACACTTTTTGTCATATAAGTAATCCAGAGCTTATTTCTGGTTTAATTTTTGTCTAATTCTAATTCTAGTTCTGTGTGTAATCTCCTGTTATAACTTTATTTGTTACGTTTTTTTCATGTTTTGCACTCAGAGATGACAGCAAACGAAGACAAATCAATGTTTAGTCTGTACGTTCTCTGTACAGTATATACAATAAAGCTTTGAATGGTATTAAGAGATACGACACCATAATATTGATCGTCAGAGGGAAAATGAAGATGCCGCAGTATCACAAAGACCAAAATATGTACAGAAAAGTAAAAAGAAATAAAGACATGAATGTGTAATAGCGGGATACTTAGAAATACTTACATATAAACATAACATAGTATGAGATTTAAAATATCTTAATATATAGTGAAGTACAGCAGCATATAGAATATTAGATAAAATACAGTTTTTGTAGAGTTATTATTGTACTCAGTGACCTCTTTTCTGTTGTCTCCCTATTGAGCCTTGAAACAAGAGACACGAAAGACGAAGTTCCCAGACTGTATGAATGTGTGTGTATGTGTATGTGTGTGTGTGTGTGTATGTATGTGTGTGTGTGTGTGTGTGCGTGTGTGTATTTTCCCAACATCACAGCATGAAGGAAAGTCATTGAAGTCTCTAAATGGTAAACGACACATGCGTCCCCCAAACAAAATGCTACTGTGTGAACTACAACTGTTTATAGGAGGATTGTGGAGGGAGGGGGGGGGGGGGGGGTCAACAATCCAGTTCACTCTGCTGACATGTTAAATCTCACACTTTGGGAATGAGACCTCGGTGAGGACCTCAGCAGATACTTATCAGTGGCGGTTAGTGCAGACAAACACTGTCACCTTCTGCTCACAACCAACTGCTGTCACACACACACACACACACGCACGCGCACGCACACACACACAGATAGTCAAGTCATAGAAAAAAAACAAAGTCTTCATTGTGCTCTTATCTCAAGATTTGATACATCAGGGCTATACATGTTTAAATGTGTCGCTAAGCCACGCCCCCTTCTGCTACTCCGTCACGCTGTCCTGTGCCTTCAGGAGCTAGCGTAGCATATACGTGCTAACGCCGGTTAATGACGTGCTAACGTACTCTGCTAATGTTAGCGCCACAGGTGTTTACGTAAAGACGTAAAGTTTTAGAAACTTCTTCCAACCTCTCTGGTTAACGAGTACCACTATCACACGACGTTTAACACGACCAGCTCAAAATCCACTAAACCAGCCTGAACACGAAGAAAAATATGAAACGATTGCGTGATGTTCGGAGCTCGCTGATGCTACACTACGATTGGCCAGTCTGCATTCGAGGGGCGGGACTTCACAAAGCGTCAGTTATAATTTTAATCGAAAGTAGGCTACGTGTACTCAAGTATTTTAAGTACAATTTTGAGGTACTTTGTTTAAGTATATCTTACTTACTTCCGCTCCAATACATTTCAGAGGGAAATATTCTATATTTGACTTTACAAACGTATAGAAAACATCAACTTATGACATTGTTGTAGACAAAAAGACCCCACACACCCTCACAGGAGTTATTAGACCTCCTCAGGTGTGAGTTGTGTGAAGCTCTGCTGGGTTTCACGTGACGTCATCATGTACTTATACAAATGATGAAGTCGTAAATAAATTTAAAAAAAGATCTTTTCATCGAAGGGAGTGCATAAAAAGTGAGAAAATCTGAATTTTCTTTTTGAAAATTATTTTAGAAATACACATTTTTATTCAGAAAGATAAATAAACAAAAGAAAACCATAAAAAGTTGAATATAAAATTTCAGATGAAAAGTCATGACAGCTTGTATTTAACTTTGTTTTACTCAAATCAACAGTGAATACACGTTATTTCCTTTGTCTAACACACACACACACACACACACACACACACACTGTAAAAAACATATGACGCCATGTTTAAAATGACGTCTGCTCTCGCTGGTGACACAAAATGTCATCATCAGCCTAAACCCAATTACAGGCCTCTCTTTGAAACGATCACACGTCCACACAAAGAAAAGTGAGAAGAAAAGCTTTTGAGTGGTTCGGCTGCAGATTCACGCCGATGAAATGTGAACGTTTGAGCCAGAAAGAAGAGATTAGTGACTTTATTTATTTTATATAACCTCTCGTCTTGTTCATTATTACACGGATCAGTGTTCTGCAGCTCATGTGAAACCCATGTTTGAAGCTGTCTGTCAGCGTCGTAACACACACACACACACACACACACACACACACACACACTCTGAGAGTCCGTAAGTGGAAAGGAATGAGTGGAGAAATGCATCTTGAACGGATGAGACGATGCTGCTCACAGATTTATGGGCTGATATCGTGTTTCAAACCCCTGCAGAACACAGTTAGTCCACATCAACTCCTCATAATCGGTTTTGTTTGTGTGATTTGTGTTTATGCAAATACACGATATCATAAAAAACAATCCGGCAACAATCCTTTAACGATTCTCAGTGAGTCTGAATTCACAGCTTTGTGTTGTTTTATGTAAAACACCTTTAGGTTTTATTGAGTTATTATCAAGATATTTTGATTTAAATTATTGTCCCAATGATTTGTAAATAATCTGAAATAAAATCAAAGTCTGCAGTTTGTTTCTCTGCTGCTCTTATTTTTTTTTAAATATATAATTTATATATTTTAAATCCTCTATATTTTGTATAAAATATTAGGTTTCAACATATAGTTACATTTAAATGAGCCCCACAATAAAAAATAGAAATTAAAAAAGATGAGGCACTTATTTCTGGAAGATTTGCAAATATGAAAAGTCAAAAACAGACATTTGACCTATATTTTGTAATCTAAATGTACTGCGTGTTGTTAGTATATTGTTGCATTTCTAGGAGTTTATTTATTTTTAATAAAGAGTTTTCTCTCTGTTGGTATTTGTGTGTAAATTAAATCAGATTATCTTATTTCTCCTGTTTGATGTGAACTGTTATGAATGTAAAAAGCTGCCGTGATTTATTCGTGAGTGCAGAATAACTTCTGACCTAAACAAAAACCTGTTCACAGTTAAACATGTCATAACTCCAGCATGAAATGAAATACAAGACTTTTTATGGAAAGAGTTCAGTCTTTTAAAGTTTATTGACATGAGGAAAACATTGGGATAATGTTTAAATACTCTACACAATAAAGTTATTAAAACATGCACATGGAAAATATAATATACTGTACATAAATATTACATCGGGAAAACAAATTGTTCCTAGCTGGTCTAGCTTCTAATGCAGTGCCTGTGTGTTTAAGATTAAGTTTGACCCCAAAAACCACAACTTGAGACGCCTTCTGAGACAAACCTGACGTTCATAGTGCAAGAAGAGACACTTAATGGAAATTAATGGAATGCTCGACTCATGGCGGGCGTGGGCCTCTTCAGTATGGCCTCCACGGAGAAGGACAAAGACTCGCTGGATGCCATCTTGGTCCCCACGGGCTTGGACAGAAAGTCTTTGGCGTACCTGTCGGTGATTTTCACGGCCTGAATGTCCTTGGCGGAGCCCTCCCTGAACTTCCGGGCGGCCTCCTCTAGGAGCTCTTTGCAGTACGGAGCCCGGAGCTCCAGCCCGGCCCCGCTGCTGGTTTTCTCACCCAGCGAGTGCTGGATGAGGGAGTGAAAGGAGTTGAGTTTCATGGACAGCTTCGCGCTGTCTTTGCTCAGCTTGTTCAGAACCTGGCTGGAGTTTTGGGAATGAGGGTTGCTGGGGAAAGATTGTCCAAAGCTCCTCTTGGGTGGAGAAAAGGCCGAGCATTCCCGCTGCCCCCCCTGGGTGACGCCGTGAGGTTTGGGATCAGGCCGTTGAGGGTCCGACGAGTCCGGCAGGGCAGCTGCTCGGGATCCTTCTAGCTTGGCCGCGGCCTCCTGCTCCGGCGGCTGGCTCTCGGCTGGCACCGCCTTGGGCTCCCACACCGCCCCCGGCTTCATGTTCTGCACCGCCGTGGTGTTGAACAGGCACTGCTGGTAGAGCAGGGCGTCACCCAGGTTGGCCGTGCCGCGGGGCCACACCATGTAGCCGCCACGTGACGGCTGCAGCGGGTAGTGGCGGTAGGTGGTGGCCACGCTGACGTTGGAGGAGATGAGCTCCACGTTGGCCGAGCCAGCCGGGTACTGCATGGACAGATCCAGGCAGTTAGGGCCCAGGAAGTTGCACAGCTCTTTGGGCTGGGGCTCGGCCGGAGCCGCCGGCGAGTAGGACGTCTTGTAGTTGTACTCGGCGGCGTGGTGAGCCATGCTGTTGGGGAAGATGAGGGAGGCCCCCTGGCTGTTCTCCAGCAGCTCTCGCTCTTTGTACTCCCGCTCCAGCATGATGGTTTCCAGCTCCTTGTCGGCGAAGGCCCTCCTCTTCCTCATGCGATCGCTCAGCGGCGGGGGGAGAGCTGCGTTGGCTGCCAGGAAAGGATCGGACTGCACCGGACGGTATCCTGCCATCAACAGAACCCCCGTTTAATTCAAAGGTCTGTGACAGTCAATGTGTTCTGGATTAAAACTGAAGTCAAGCATGCAGGCAGAAATGTTCACGCTGACAAACATGCAAAACATGAAATAAAGAAGAAGTTTAACTCTGGTTTGAAGAAAATATAAATCATGCTAAATAAATAAATCCTATTTGTATGTTGCGACAATGCTGGAGATGATCATCAGTGAACTTATTACATGCCAAATACGTTTATCAAGCCACTGCTTGCAGATGTTAATACATCCTCATCACTGTTATGGTGTTGTTAGTGGGAACAGATAGAATCAATACAAGCTAGAAACTGAGCGTTCAACAAGCCAAGAGAAACAGAAAAAGATCAGAAAGCAATGAAACGTGTTTCTATTTGTCAGATCTGTTGCCTCGTTACCTTCCAGGATGCTTTTGGCGAGCATGGTGGACGGTCGAATGTGCCGCTGATATATCGTCCTCCGCTCCGCTGGGAATGGTTTCCCAGATATTCCTTTCTTATCCTGATGAAAAGAGAAAACAAAGAACGACTTTAAAACGTGCTGTCGGGATGTTTTTCTTGATCCTTTAAAAACACCAGATTTGTCACAGCTCAAGTCCAACGTCTAATAATAATAATCTACTTGTTTTACTGTCATAACAACTGTCTTTAAATAAAGCAGGATCAGTTGAACTCAAGATTAAAAGTTGAATACATTGATATACGGCATTTTAAAATTGGTTTCATTATTTCAAACTGCAATGTGTTCACAAGTCCGTGTAATAAAAGTTATACATTAAGTTTTCACACTCTCTCACACCCACACACTCACACAGAAAAAAAATGTCCATCTGGTATCATCTTTAAAATACCACAGCTGACGTGGTTCATTATTTTGACCTCAGACATTCTCAAATATTTGAATGTCACCGCAGTCAAAACACACACACACACACACATATATACTAGAGCTTATAGGAAATATAAGGCCGACTTGTGTTTGTTTACAAGTTAAGATGTAAATGTCTAATTGTTGGGGAAAGAGTGAGACGTGCATCTCTCATAAAGCTGTGTAAATAAGCTTTTACTTTTTATTTAAAAGTGATTGTTTGTTGGCTGGGAAGACATTAAACTACTCATGGACGCCACTGATTCATGCTCATTGAGTCACACAAAGAGAGATCGTAGCACACATTAAATGACCCGATCCTTTAATCTGAGCCAGGACACGACCAGACTTAAAACTAAACCTAGACCTGCTTTGGTGAGACAAACTTAACTGTATTTAGTATCACAGTATTCACTGTAACTTCAAACTTGACTTTGAAAAATCCGTTGTGTTTTTTTATAGGTCACATGAAGGCTGGATTGTTTTTACATAAATACGACAGTTTAAGAAACCAGAATCGTGTTTCTGCTGATATGTCAGAAAAACACGTCGCCTATTCAGGCCTCTTGTGGTCAGAAACGATGGCCCTGAATGTTGCACTGTGGCTCAGATAAATAAAAAAGAGCAATTAAAGACAAGTTTGACTGGAATATGAAGACTAATGGGTCGATTATGAAGCCAAGCGCATTATCTTAAAGTTACATTTAGGTCAAAAGTCATTGTAATAATCAGAGCAACAGACTGTCTGAGTGCTGTTGGAAATTCCATAATTAAAACATAAAGAACATATGAACCTACACTTGGAATCCAACACTAATGCTAATAAATATACATGATTTATGTCATGCTGTTTGATGATGATGAGTGTTTAACTTCCAACAGATTTACTGTAGTTTTAAACATAGTTCTGCACCTTTAACATGGATTTTCCCTTAAAGCCGAGGACAGCAGCGACTGAGCCTCTGGATTTACAAAGTAAATAAAGCAGTGGTGGAAAAAATGCTCCTGGCTTATGAGAAGCAAGATCAACATCTCCTGGAAATTCCTACAGCAACAACAGCAACAACAACAACAACAACAACAACAAACCTGCACAGCCAGAGAGGGAATACACTCTCTATAGAGAAGTCACTGGATGTGATGTTTGTTTTATTGTTAATAACCAGTAGGCCACTACAGAAATAAAGTGAAATATGTTTTACTGTGGGGTCTAATTTAGCTGAATAAAAGCACTTGAATGCATCACAACTTTTCAAGGTTTTGCTCCAGCTTTTAAGAACAGCATTCACACACACATCCATACAGCCTGTACACACACACACACGCACACACACTCCGGGTCTGTACCTCCGTGGCTTGCTGCCTCCTCAGGGCCACCTGCGCCGCCATCACCCGCTGTCTCTCCACCACCAGCAGGCAGTTGGCGCACTGGCAGTCCCTCCAGCGGCAGAAGCGCTTGTGTCCCTTCAGGCAGGACACCACGCCGTGGTTACGGCAGCGGGCGCACTTCGGGGTCCGGCTCAGCTTCCTCTGGTCCCCGGGACACACGCCGCTGGGCCCCGGTTTCTCGTCGGCCTTGCTGCAGTCTCCGTCTCCGTCGTCCTCGGCGGCTGCGTGGCCGGCGGCCGGGTCGTCGCTCTCCGTCTCCAGGCTCTCCACGTCGATTTCAAACTCGCAACCGGCGCTTTCTGACATGTCTGCCCGAGTCTGAACACCCAGTTTATCTCTGAATGAACACATAGATTAGTCTAGTTATTCTGAGGTTATAGGAGTTAATAGTGGCTTAATAACATAATCACTCAACACAATCTCCTCTGGAAGCTACAATGTTCAGCCTATAAAGCAGATTTCATTCATTATATTCTTCTAGAAATTCCCAAAACCCTTTTTTTATTCTTATGATGGTTTAAATTAACTTCTTTGGCGGTAGATTCATTTTATTATTTTTTAACCTCTGAGCTAAATTCTTTGACACACAAGATAAAGATCCACGCACAATGATGATAAAGATAGTTTAGTTTGTATTTATTAATCCGCAAAAAACATGGTCTAAATAAAAATAAAGAGGAAAATATATTCCTTAAATCTAGAAAGTGCACAGCAGAAATATCAATAGAGTCAGATATCAATATGATTGCTTTTATTTAATTTTGCAGACCACAAATGATAGCAACAAAAAGTAGTAGGCTTAAACAAATACAGCTTATTATTGGAAGCCTAAAATAAATAACCATTATTATGATTCATCACATGACTCTATGAAGAGTCTCACCACACTTCGGTCATCGCCCAGTTGGCTTGTCCGGTATTTAATTGGTTATTTCACGCATGGATTTGGTCAAACCACATGTAGTCTACATAATAAAGACACGAGAGGACTTGAGTTTACCTCCAGAGGTGGATCCAGCGGTCTCGTCCAGGTTGTTGTTGTTTTTTACAGCCGTCGTTAAGCCCCGTGATGAATCACACGCAGTAAAACACGCAGTGCAGCACAGGTTCGTAATTAACCGCTAATTGAGTGCATGAGTGAGTGTCTCACTCCGGACAGATCCAAGTTTTCCTTCTGAGGAAGAAACTCCGAGCGACACTCCTATGAACCGCTCCGGGCTGCGTTCCCTGTCCTCTGATTGGCTGCTTACAAACACGCGCCGACCAATAGGATCGCGAGCAGTTAGCAGGGGGGGGGAGTCTCATCAAATTACTGTCAACCGTCCGTTACTAGGACGGTTGACAGTAATTTGATTACTTTTCCTTTGCAATGAGCTCACTTGTAAAAAAACAGAAAAAGAAAACCTATTACATATTGTGACTATAACTTTATTTAACAGAGAGGCCTACATTTATATTAAAGCTCCTTTTCTATTACAAACAACTATTAAATCATTGTGTATTTATGGAGCTAAATATCAAATATCTTGTAGTGTCTTTGTCTTTTTATGAATGAATATAGAATGATGGATATCTAGTTTATTTATTGAGTTTTTCTACTTCATTATTTTTGTTTAATTAGCGTATACGCATATAGCCTAATTGTGAATAATAAAGAAAAAATAGAGAATATAGACATTTATTGATCAACAATGATGAGTAATGTGGCAGAGACAACTTATCTATGACAAATAATCAAAAGTCAGCGATAATACCTTCACAATAAAAGCAGAATTTAACTTTTATCTGATGATAGGCCTCATCCTTTAGATTTATACTTTAGGCTGATAGACATGAATTAGGTCACAACTAAAATAACTCTGCCTTTCAGTTTTGTAGCCTATAGGCCTATTTCACAAGCCAAAATATGTATTTTTTATTTATTGCACAGTTAAACTGGATTAAATAATACAACAACAAAAATGTAAAAAGCAGAATATCCCAGTGATGCACATTCCATCCTGCATAAAGGATCCAGGTGTTTACACTGGTCACAGATTAAAGGGAGCAGATCAACAAGTGATGAATGTGTACTGCAGGTTGTTACAGTCTGTCCGCAGATTAATACAGTGTGTTCACAACAATCACACCTGAGAGAAAGAAACACAGTGTCAGCATGCAGAGTCCTACACACAACAAGAGAACCCACCCGAGTATACACAGCGTCACATTTAAATAAGAATATAAAGAAAATTAAAAAACAACTTAAATGTAACCCTTATTTCAGACCTTAAACTCCAAAAACAAAAACATTACAAAATGATAGGTATGTTATTATCCTTGTCATGAAATGCTTAAAAACACTGAATCCTGTTTTAACCACATGAACCCAATAAAATAATAATAAAAACACAAGAAAACACTGTTGTTTTTGATATTTCGCCTGCACATTAACGTAATTATTTAGTGTCTCTCATACTCTCTACTCAACATGTAGTCCTGGCCTATTTATCAGAATAATAACAAATAAATAAAAGTCGAATTAAATCTCACCCTCGTGTGACTGATGACCTCTGAAACTATATGTTTGTCTCTTTGTTTGACTGAGAGCTCGACTCTAAGAGAGACTTCGCAGCATTTACTCAGTGTTAACTGACTTCCATGGGGACTGACAGCGGGACAATAGACACATACACACGGCCCCGCTGTAGCTTGGGACATAATGTTGACTCAAACCCTTTTGTGATGTGAAATCAACGAACAAAGCGACGTTAAAAGGATGATGTTTTGTATATTCCGTTCAGAGTAAGGGAGGGGTAGTTACCCGTCTGTCCTGCTTGGCTCGAAATTAGTGTCAAAGCTGTGAAATAATAATTTATAGCTTTAGCTACTGTATAGTGCTGCAGGCCTATGTGTGACATTTTAAAACTGCACAATGTCGACCATTTATATTCTTAATTTCGGGTCTTATAAACCCTATTAATGACATGATGTGTTATGATAACATTATAATGTTTTATTAACCCTTAGGCAGAACAACGGTGTGTTTTAGACTTTAATTAAATAGAGAAGCGCATATTCTAAAAGCCGCTTCTTGTCCTGGTGTAAGTCCTTCTCCAGATGAGGACAGTGCCTCTTAACGGCTCCTCCATGTGCTGGAGGTGAAGACGTCAGGCCTGCAGGTGCAGCATTATTCGCCACTTCGTCTTAATTTACTGCGGAGGTTACGAGCGGCCACCCCGGGCCGCCGCTTCCACACCAGGAATGCTTTGAAGCCGAGGGCCGGCTGGACCGTCGGACAGGAGGATCCGCACGGAGCTGGGACCCTCCAGGTGAAAAGTGTTGTCTGTGTCCGACTCGATAAAGGGGGGGGTAGCTCCACGGGTCCTTGAATGGGCTTCCAGAAATCGTTTAGGAATCTTTCAGGGTCCCTCGAAGGAATCCAGGGGGGTCGGGTATGTCAGGGGGGTCTTTACAGGAGGCTCGATAGGTGGTTGTGAGCATTTAAGGGGGTTCCAAGGGCATTCAATACCGCCTGGAATCCTTTCAAGGGGCCCTTATCAAAGACTCTCAAAATCCTGGAACTATTCAAAGATCCCCTTTGAGATACCCCTGCAAAGAGGTTAAAACAGTATGGCCTGGAAAACCTTTAGGGCCCCTGGAACCCTTCAAAAAAGGTCCTTGGATCTCCGTCAATGATTCTGAAACCTTTACAAGGACCCTGAAAACTTCAAAAATATCCCAAAGACCCTGCAACAACCCCTGAAATTCCCTGAAAATCCTGAATGTTCCTTGAAGTGACTCCAAGAATTCTGTAAATCCTTGAGGAATTGAATTCCAATGGAGTTTCCATTCATCTTGAAATTGATTCCAGGCATTATTGAATGAGTTTCAGGGTCTTTTCCGGGGATTGGAGAGCGACTTTCGAGTGAAAGGGTCTGTTGATCCTTGAGGAGTCTCCAGGAATGCTTGAAGGGGTGCAGGCATAATTGAAGGAATTTCACTGGTCTTTGTAGGGGAACTTTTGCAAGTTTTCAGGGGTTCAAGGGAACTTAAAGGGAGTTTCAAGGGTCCCTGAGGGTCTCCAGGATCCTTGAATGGATCCCAGGCATTACTGAGTGAGTTGGAATCCCTGACAAGAACCACAAGGAGCTTCCTTGAAATCTTGATTCATTGAAGTCCTTGCAGCAGTCCTTGCAGGGGTCTGGAGATCCTTGAGGAGTTTTCAGGGTCCTTGAGGAGGATTCAGTAATCCTTGAGGGGGGTCCATGGGTCCTTAATGGGATTCCAGGCATCACTAAAAGAGTTCCAGGGAACTTTGAAGGGGTTTGGGGATCATTAGGGTTTCATGGATCCTTAATGGATGTTAGTAGAGGAGTTTTTGCAGGCGTATTTGAATCATTGCAAGGAATCCAGGTGTTACTGACGTGATTTCAAGGGGGGGTCCCGGGACTCTTGAGTATTTTCCAGGGATCCCTCAAGGGGCTCCAGACATTATTTCAAGGCTCCTTGTTGGGTAGAAAGTTTGCACAGATCCAAGACATCGTCTAAAATCTGTATTTAATAAAAGTAAACATTTTGAGAATGTACAGTCGTTTTTATCTCCAAAGGAGCCACTATGATATTCTTATTGTGACTTTTTAAATAAAATGTACATAGTTTCATCTCTTAGGCCTACAGCTCCAGCATTTATGTCTCTTAAACGAGGGTATATCAGTTTAAAACGCGGTACCATCAGCTCCTTGGTGTTCATTTAGGCTGCTGTCTGTGGACTTTAACTCCTGTTGATCCTTTTTAATGAGCTCACAGACACACAATGACACTTTCTCACACGCTGTCCAGTTTACTCTCCGGGTTGATTGAAACAACAGCATCTTGTTGGAAGCGTCCCGCTGTGCCGGCTGTAAAAGTGTAACAGGAGCTGTGTATAGACAGAAGAGCAGAGTGGGATCACCGGGATCACTGGGATCACTGGGGGGATCCTGTTATGTTAATTAGCCTCTGATGGACCGACAACACATGCAGCTGAATACAAAACCAGGCGGGACGACATTTGTCTCTGTCTGACAGCTCGACCTCTCGCTCTGCAAACAGGAGGACGTGTCCTCCAGCCGAGGAAGTATTCAGATCCTTCACTTAGAAGTACTAATACCACAATGTACAAAAAACTCTGTACTGCTTTAAAGTCTTAAAAGTAGAAGTACTCAATGAAGATAAATGTCCCCTGTGACTGTTGTACTATAACACATATTATCAGATTATTATTACGCATGTTTGCTACTTTTTTTATCAGACTGCAACTCGTCATGGATTCATCTGCTGATTATTTTATACGTGAATCGATTGATTGATTGGTTTGTATAAATAGTCAAATCAAACCAAAGTCTGAACCTCTAAATTATTTAAAATAAATAATAAAAACAACAAAAAATTATGAAAAAGCAGCAAATCTTCACATTTCTTAAGAAACATGAAATGTTTTTGCATGAAAAATGACAATCATCAAAATTGTTGCCAATCAATTTTCTGTCACTCAACTAATCACAAGAGCTCTGATTGGATGTATCATTAGGATGTTTGATTTGTAACAGCGTCACATTTTTAAAACGAATCATATGTTTTGTGTGCAAAAATCTGTAACCAAAGTTGTGCAATAAATGTAATGAAGTAAAAAGTACAATATTTCACTCAATTGTTGTGGAGTAGAACTAGAAAGCAACATGAAAAGGAAGTATTCAAGTAAAGTAAAAGTACCTCAAATATGTACGCATGTTACTTTTCCACTAATAAACTGTTATTTTCTGGTCAATTTGAGTATAAAGGGGAAAACAATGTAATACTCTTCCAGGAAGACATTAATTTAGGCTTCACCCTAAAACCTTTAATATTCTCATTTAATTTACATCATTGTGATACAACGTTTGCCTGCAACAAGTCCTTCATATAAGAGATAATGAATAAACTGAGTTTAGACACGTTTTATGTTAAAAATGCACGTATGTGAATTGTCCGAATTATAATCAACAATGTTCCCTGCATGAAGTTCCTGCTTCATTTAAAGAAGCTTCACCAGCTGCTGTTACAAACATGTTGAATTAAATAGTGGTATTTATTCTGTACTGCAGCCCAGAGATGATGAGGTACAAATACACATTTGGGCCACTGGGTGGCAGACTGGAGCAGCTTTCAGTGATGAAAATAAAATAAGATTAGAGATTGTATTTAGAAAGTGTTTCTGTTTTTTATTAGGCTTTTTTACAGCTTTCTTAATTTGATATGAAATAAATATATATTTCACTTCGAAAGAAACATTTTGTTTCCAACATATATTTGTATTTAAACACATTTTCAGTTCTAAACCTCCTGTTTTGATGTTCAGTTCTGAGATCTGGCCTCTTGAAATAAACTTGACGTGGATGTATTTCACCACTAGATGGCAGCATTCACAAGGTTTTGACAAGAGGACGGATCAGTTTCTGCTCCTCTTTAAAAAATATCCATTTTACAAATAATCAGTCAAATGTAGTGTTGTTGTATGTCTCAGACTATTTTATTTTTAAGTTATAAGAGATGAGTTTGTTGTTTTACAATCCACAAATTATCTTTCTCACTCACACAGAAAACTAAAAACTGTAAAAGAGTGAATTTCTTGCCGAGGATCAAAAAAGATTTATCTTACTTTATAATATTACATCATCATTCATTTGCTGATTATATTTTTGTATATTCATTTTAATCTTTAATATTGGCCTCTCAGAAGTGGTGAAGTACAAGAATAAAGTGGCAGAAAATGGAAATACTCAAGTAAAGTACAATTACCTCAAAAAGAACGCACTTGAGTACATGTACTTAGTTACTTTCCACAACTGCTGACTATTGAGTTAAACAAATTAGTGATCGTGTTAAAAGTGCCACTTATTGTTTATTAATTTAAGATGTTGCAAAATAAAATAAAATAAAATAAAAGATGCTTCAGCCTTTGAGTACAAAAGGAGACGAGATGCTGAAATATTCTGTTTTTAAAAACTAATATTAAACATAAAAGTCATCCCTTGCTGCTTATTTACATGTAACAATCTGTTGTATATATATATATATATATATATATATATTAACTCTTTAATCACTGTTTTAAAACCTGATCAGATGACTTCAGACTCTGAATCATGTGACAATATTTATTTAATACAATAAATTCTTTTCTATGTTAGACTCATTACTGAACATCAGTGGAACGTATACATGTAAGTACATTTACTGAAGTATTGAACATATTCAAGGTACTTGTACTTTACTTGAGTATTCCCATTTATAGAAACTTTGTACTTGTTCTCCACTACATCTCAGAGGTAAACATTGTACTTTTTACTCCACCACAACTTTAGTTACTTTTCAGATCACAGCCTTCGTCTCCTTCCTGTCCAGTGAACACCTCGTATCTCCAGATGTGATGATGTTGAATGTTTGTGATGAACTGAAGGATTAAATGTTCAGTTCATCACAAACACATCATGTGTTTACTCAACACATCATGTGTTGAGTAAACTCTTCTACTTCTTAAATAAATAAACTCTTTAAAAAGCCTCTTGGATCAGCTGGAAAATGAACGTCACAGAGCTGAAAACAGGCTGTTAGAGACACTCACAGGACATGTGATGATCTCATAGAATATGAAGCATTGATGTAGAATAACAGGATATAAAGGAGTTAAAATAAACACAACCTGAAACATCTACAGCAGTAAAACACATTCATATTAATCCAGAAACATCATCTATAATATTAAAACAGGAAACACTTTACTGCACAATGAGTACTTCTACTTTACTCACATTTTGCTGATACGTGTACTTTTACTGAAGTAAAGTGTGAAAGCAGGACTTATACAGTAGTGGAGTATTTTCACAGTGTGGTATTAGTACTTCTACTGCAGCAAAAGGATCTGAATACTTCTTCCAGCGCTGCCGAACATTGATGTCGACACATATTCACTTTCACACGTTATAGAAACAGATATAGCAGAAGATCTGAAATAGTTCACAGCATTTTTGGGGTTTATAGATCTGTGAATATAACTTTTATGATTTTGTTGTAATATTTGGGTCTTTAACAAATCCTTCATGCTCCGATGTGTTCATCAGAGCAGCATTTTTACACACTGGACCTTATAAAACCTGTCTTTGTACGTTTTGTTTGATTCTCGTCATGTGAAACGTTGTTACACTTGAGATATTCTGCAAACTGCTCGTAGATATAGTCGCAGCAGAAGAACACCAGATATTGTTAAATCTATATGTCTGTCATACGTCTGCCTCGTCTCCAGTGGTGGAAGAAGTCTGATCTTTTACTTATAAGTAAAAGTACTAATACAGTGAAGAAATACTCTGTTACAGCAAAGTAAATTAATTCAAAGCTTGACTTAAGTAAAAGAACAAAAGTATCACATCAACGTAAAAGTACTCATTGTGCAGAATGGCTAACTTCAAAGTCATATATATTACTTTACTACAATATATATTATAATTATTGATGCATTAATGTGTTTCGTCACTAAAAGTGGGGTTTATTTTAACTACTTGATATACAGCTGTGTAGCTTAATCTATAACAATAATAATACATCATTTATTTGTTGTTTATGGTTTACATCATTAATCTGAATTTGCAAAGTCACTAAAGGTGTTACATAAATTAAAAAGAGTAAAAAGTACAACATTTCCCTCAAAGAGAGTAGAAGTATAAAGTAGGAAATACTTAAGTACAAGTACCTTAAATCTGTAAAGAATTGAGTAAATGTACTTAATTACTTTCCATCACTGCTGTTCTCTGTGTCTGCTGTTAATCAATGAGAAACCTGCTGTTTAAAGCATTTCATTTAAAGTATTAATAATCTTTGTTGAATATAAATTCAGCCAATATGATGAATTCAATGAAGTCAGAGACAACAATCTGATCCTTTTGGAAACTCAGATTTATTTGGCATAGACTCTTCACATGCATTGATGATCCTTAACATCGAAAGTGTTCACAGTTCTAAACATGCTGCAGGAAATAAAGACGAGTCGTGTTACATTCATCCGTTTTTGATTATGTGTCCACGTGACGTGTTGAGAGCACGAGCGGGTCACCTTATCGAAGGGTGATTGCTTTGACACAGTTCAATTCAAACAAGACGGAAAAAAGACCCTTTACACACACACACACACACACACACACACACACACACACACACACCCCCCACACACACACACACACGCGCGCGCGCGCGCGCCCCGGATGTCCATTCACAATAATACATATTTGGTGTCCCGCTGCTTTTCAGTCCATCAGCAGCTTCTCTAGCTGGATGAGTTCAGGGTCCGGGAGTCTGTGGAGTCGGAGCGCTCTTCGTACTCCTCATCGGGGGAGTAGAGGCCCGGTTTGGTTCCCAGCGTGCAGCTCTCCTCCTGGACGCCGATGCGCTGCTGCTGCTCCTCGGAGGGTCTGGACGGGAGGATGGGGGACCCTCGGAACACGGAGCCGGCGGGGGCCGCGGTGGAGAACGGCGACACGTACTGGGCCGCCGAGCGCAGCTGGTACTGCTGCTGCAGCGCCATGGTATTCCACAGAGTCACGTCGTTGTGCACGAAGGGGCTGCCCTGGCTGCGCGTCAGGGAGTTGCGCAGCATGAGCGGGTAGCGCGTGGGCTGCGGGAAGGACGGGTGCTGCAGGCTGGACACCACGCCCGAGGCGGAGTCCGACGTGAACCGGAGGGACTCGGGGACCCGGAAAGCGGAGCCCACCGACCACTTGGCGGAGGTGGACACCGGGTGGTAGGAGCCCAGCGTGTGCTCGAACAGGTGTCCGTTTGCAGGCAACAACAGGGCGTCCGTGTGCGGGTCTGCGTGCGTCGGGTGCGCGCTCCCTTCGGGACTCCGGCTGGACAGCAGCACCTCGATGGCCCCCACCAGATCCCCCCCGCAGCCTCTGAGGATGAGCTCCAGGACCGGGGGCTTGTGAGCGGGGAAGATCTTCTTGAGGACCTCCAGCGGAGGCCGGTTGGCCCGGAGGCTGAAGGGCAGGTTGATGGAGCCGGAGAGGCCCTCGATCAGCACGCCCTGATGCTCCGCGGGGCTGACGGGATACTTCTGCGGACTCTCGACTTTGGCTTCCTTCTCCGCGCTGCCGGCTTTAGGGAGGCTGTAGCGGCTCTCCTCCGGCTGGGTGGGGGTCTCCGGGGGCTCCGGGGTGTAGCAGGAGTTCGGTTTGGAGCCCTCGGGGGAGCTGACTGGGTCCTGCTCCTTCTCACTGGAGCTCCCCCCGTTTTCAGCCCCGGACCCCTCATCAGGGCCGTCATCTGTCGGTTCTGCAACACAAGCAGAAAAAAAATCTAATTTCATCTTCCAGGAAAAGGCAAACAATGAATTAAAGAAACACAATCTGCACTTTTCTAAACGCAACACACAATGAATGTGTTGTCAACTTGTCTCCAACACAGAGGAGCTCGTGAGGATTCACTTGACTTCCTTCCCTCCAAAGTGCTGACTGCGCGTCAGTGAGGAATCTACCGTCGATGCCTTTTGACCACATGTTTGCAAACAGCTCGCTTTGTTGTCTCAGTAACATCTCATCTGGAGCTGACCTCCTGCAGGAGATATGGCGATTACATTCGATTGGTCCTGTAATCTGTTTACACCACTCAGCTCCGCCTGTCAGCGCGAGATGGAGCTGATGTGGAGTCAGCTGATCGGGGCTCGTGTCCAAATGTTTTAAGTGTCACAAACAAAACACAAAAACACAGAGTGGAGTGAAAAGCCACAACAATCTGCACTGTGACATATTACAATAATTCAGTAATTATCACCTCAGTATTTTGGGAGGATGATGAGCAGTTTACCTTTTCATAACAAATACAATAAACAGTGGTTATTATTTATTTATTTAGTGTTACAGCCTTTCAATTACCACATGTCAGATATTTTTCAAAATAATAGCAATTCTGTTATTCTGACAGAATAACTTATATTTTTGGAAACATATCTTATATTTAATATATAAACCTAAATAAAAATCATTCCTTGTAAAACAAGAAACTCTTGCAATTTTCAATAAATAAATAAATGAAAAAAAAAACATAATCCAAATATTACCAGAACGAAGAGCTAATTTTCAAAGCCTTTCTTAAAACGAATAAACCAAAGTTTGATTTAAAATAACAAAAACATGATTCATGAAAATAAATAAAAACTGAATCTGTAACTATCTGTAAATGAAGCTTTCTCCTCAACTTATTCAAAAACATTTTATAAAAATGTCACAAAACAGACTGTGTATTATATTTCACATTACAAACACTTCTTGTCTTTTTGTTTGTAATATCATCACAAGTTCATGTATCTGTTTTCTTTAATGTCTCTTGTGCTGCTGAATAAATAAAGTTGAATCTTTCTTATCTTTAAAAACGGTATTTAAGCAAATGTGTCATTCCCACATAAAGCAACATTGTGAGGAAATGTGTTTGAGTGATTTTTGTGTAACTAAATATGTACACTAATACATATTTAGTGTTTTAATCCCAGTTTTCCTGTCCTGTTGTTGCACTTATTTAGGAAAACACTGCCCTGCATTGGTTTCAATTTAGATATTTTTTTCCATGTTTTTCCTGCAGGATTGAATGAAAACATGATCCTGTGATAATGTTGTTCTTTGTGATGTATTAATTATTCTTTATTAGTAGTAGCTATACTTGTAATAATGTAGCAGTTCAAATTATTTCTGTAATAAATTGTTTTTTCCTGCTAATTGTTTGGTAATGTTTCCTTCCATCAAATAAAAATCTTAATTCATCAGAAATGTAAAATTAAAGTGGAGCTCTCTCCTCCCACCTGCGCATGTTTGCCCTCCGGCCTGCACCGCCTCCGCGCTGCTCCACCTCAGCTCCAGCTCCTCCGTCCTCGGCGGGGCTCCCTGGTTCCCCTCGCCGGCTACGGCTATGCCGATGCCGGGCAGCACCCTGAGCGACTCCGGGATGAGGCTCTCCAGACTCTCGTTGGCCTGCTGCCGGCGGAGCGCCACCTGAGCCGCCATGACGCGCTGCCGCTCGATGATGAGGATGCACTTCTCGCACGTGCAGTCCTTGAAGCGGCAGTAGCGCTTGTGACCTTTCAGCCACGACAGCACGCCATGGTTGCGGCACCGCGCGCACTTGGGGGTCCTCTGCAGCGGGGCCCGGGGCTGAGACACCGGAGCCCCCATGTACAGGTACGGGGACCCGTAGCCATTCATTCTGTCAGTGTCCCAGGACGCGCGGGTGCGTCTGCGGAGAGGCGCGGCGGGAGTATGGTTGTGAGCAGCAGCGCAGGATGGAGCCGCTCTGCCTCACGCATAACAGGACGAGGAGAAGAGGTGTGGGCTCGTTGTGGAGGATCCACCCCCCTCGGCTGACAGCACAGATACGCATCAGGGCTGACACGCTCTTATGGAGACCACGAGTAACCAAACGCTGACACTCGCGTCAAAGCACGCTGCAAAAAATGTCCACAAAAAATCAACCTGCCAGTATTTGGATCAGATGTTTCTCTGAGAGTCCCTCTGAGAAACGGGACGATCAGTTTCTGTGAAGATTCAAGAGACACAGATTCTCTCCATGCATTTAGATTTAGAGAGTTGATCCTGCAGCTGAGGTGAGACACATTACAGCTTCATCCATGAGAAGATGCAACGTTATCTTCAGAAGTTACAAAAGAAAAAGACCAGCAATGTGACATTTTATAAGACTGTATGAGAATTTACAATGTTTAAAGAGAAAGTGGAAACACAGGAGTGTTATAAAAGATGTGTAAGCCTTTAATATAATATAGAATCAAACCTAGATTGTATGCAGGAAATGCCAAATACAGAACACAGTTAAGATGACTCAATATGTAACAGATCAACATGAAAAATAAAACTGAAAACAGCTTTATGAATGTTAAAGATATGCAAGTCTGAGTCCAAACTCAACTAAACTTCAATAATTTGGACGTCCCAGCTGTCAAAACTCTCCCAAAATGAGACATTTTATCTTCATGCAGGAAACAAGATGATTTTAATGAGCTAAAAATAAAGTTTAAAAGACAAACTTAATGCCTTTTTCTATTGGCCCCCACTGTGTAGATTTATCAAATATAAAGCACACCTGTCTTATTTAAACAAGTCAGCGTTTAAGTCAGAAATATAACCTTATAACAACATAGTATAAAATATGTGTCATCATAAAATCAACTGAATATCAAATTTGATATCACAGTCAATGAGGAAACAAATCAGATTGTTTAATTCAACCAAACATGAGATTTAACCTGAAAACAGAATCATAAATGCTTAAAAACAAACAATGTGTTTGTGACCCAACACTCTTTAGATAAATGTCTTTATTTATTTCGGAAGTAACACCAGCACAACACATTCAAAGATCATTTAAATTAGATTTTAAAACTCAGGACGATTGTGTGTGTTTCCCCCTCCCCGTTGCCTGCAGGCCCCGCAGGCTATAAGACTTAATTTGGACAAAGTGCTCGCAGATTCTCGCACCTTTTACACAATCGTATACATAACTTAGATGATTAGGTCTCTACGTGTATAAAAGCCCTGTTGGGAGCTGTGTGGAGGACGCTGATACGTCCCTTCTGCTGGACTAATAGAGGTGCATTGAAACATAACACCGGACAAAGCCGGGGCCCATTTCTGACCGTAAAAAAAGGTTTATTCAAGCAAATAATGGGATCCGCGCCTCGCGCGGCTTACAGAGAATAAGAGCCCGGTAAACTTCCCCACGTGAGGCCCGTCTCCAGGGCTATTAAGCTTTTAATTGGAAAATAGCAGAGGAAATTTCAAGGTGACTAGAGTGGCTCTGCAGTTTGTGCCGGACGAGTAGATCTGTGGGGAGTGGGAGGCGGCGCGTGAACGCCTCACACCACAACGCACAATAAATTTATTCATGTTGTTCGTTGATAAAAAACACAAACCGGAAAATAAAAGTTTATACCGCAGGAAGCATCGTAATAAGACATACGGCTTTGATTTGATGGCAGAAAAACTCTTATAAATATCTTCTGCTGAATGTGCATTTATTATAAAACACATAATAGATTTGAATTTATAAGAAATACACGTTTTTTATTAGATGTAGAGATGTTAGAAGACAGTATGAATTACACATACATTTAAGAGAGACGTTTTATTTTAAAAAATAAACAGAAATATTACATCTGAATATTAAGTACAATGGGAAGAGAAGTGAAAACTATAAGTTTAAATGAAATATAATAGAAAATGGATAATAATAATAATGACAATAACAATAATAGAATAATATTGAGGATTACAGCTTTTATTCCCAAACTTTTAGATTTTTGGAATTTCAGTCCCAAGAATGAAGCATAAATCATCATAATGTTGAACTGCTACATAATTAGCCTTCTAGCTAACTGTTAGCTCAGTCATTAGCTCCTGGAGCTTCTCTGTATTTTCTCTCCCGTTAACGTTTGATCACCATATAGTACACTATTTAGTTCAGTAACACAGTTATAGAATAGGGAAAATAAAGTTTTCTGAGCCAACATCGTGCTAACGGTCATTTAGCACGCTCTTTAGCTCATTAACTTAACATTAGCGGGGTCGCTAACGGTCATTTAGCAAGCTATTTAGCTCTTTAGCTTAGCTTGGTTGCTAATGGTCATTTAGCATGCTCTTTAGCTCATTAGCTTAATACTAGCTTGGTCGCTAACAGGACAAAAATGTCTCCCAGTTTATTCTGAAGATGTATTTGTGGACTCCTGCCACAAGTCACTCATGATGATGTTCACGATTATCCCGATAATTAAGTATTTTTGTTATCCTGATGTGAGAGAAAATTCGTCCCTAATCTCAAACTACTGGATGAATTGGCTGGAAATTTGGTTCAGACGTTTATGTTTCCTTCAGGATGCATTTTAATAACTGTGTTGATCCCTTAACGTCTCATCCAGAACCATCATCAGGTCAAAACTTAAACCTGCAGACCGATGACTTTCCCATCAGCTTCACTTGTACTTCATGTTTAGCGCTAATTAGCACATGTTAGCATGTTGAGAAGCTAAAGGAAACTGGTGACTACAACAAACCGTACTAGCAAGAAGCATAAGCTCAACATGTTAGCATTTAATTTGAAAGATCAGAGACATTTCAATCGCTCACTCAACGCCTCATGTTTATATATCAGCAGAGGGAACTCCTCCAGCAGGGCCTCTCTTCAGGAGGTGGAGGAGCAGGAGGAGGAGCTGACCTCTGCTGAGTGGAGTTATTATGAGGTGCTGATTGGGGGGCGGTGCCGCCACTCAGAAGTCCTGTCACAGAAACGCTGATTTAAGTCTCCCCGGGGAGGCGGGACAACTGAGCTCCTACAGAGGAATTAGACCGGACGTCTGAATTAGTGAGAACATCAGTCAGCGAGCACCAGCCTCCAGAGAAAAAGGAAAAGTCTGGGTTTTATTAGGCTAATACTAAATAAGAGAAAGGAACCATTTAAAGAAGATTCTACTACATTTTTTTCAATTTGACACATTATACAAGCTTGTTTTTGGCAGTTTTTCCACTTTTTCGCAACCTTTCTCAATCAATTGGCAGTCGGGGGTGAACAGGGTAATAATTTTAATTTATAGATATCACCATGAAACTCCTCCAGTTGATTACTTACATTAAGACAGTTAGCTTTTGTATTACACGTTTTCTAAATTGCTTTGGTTAAAGATGCAAATGAGGTATTATCTCAATTTGTAAACATTTTCAGAAAATAAATCAGAAAATTGGATAAAGCAGGTTCAAAATTCTTAGTTTTGACAGCGGTGTCCTGGATTAAAGTCCTTTGTTCAACGTATCCTCATAAAACGGTTCTTATGACATTTTACAAAAAGTTATGTACGTCTTATTAAGTCTTTTCAAAATAAACTTCCTCCACAGCAAAAAAGGTTTAGCCAAAACTACTTGGTTAGGTTAAGGAAAAGATCGTTGTTTGGATTAAAATAACCACTTAAGTACGGAAGTTACGTGACAAATAAATCTATGTTGACGTCTCGTTTCACGTGGCGCACAAACGTTGGACTTTTAACCTGTGGCAGTCGCAGGACTGTAATAGGTCCGTGTAATCATTTCATTTGGTTTATTAAATTATCTAAATTTTGTCCGTCGCCATCTTTGTTTTTTGCAACCAGTGAACAGAAGCGATCATATTCTCTCATATCCTTTTCTCATAGACTTCTATACAACCGGACTTCTTTTAGCAGCGGAAGGAGTCGCCCCCTGCTGGCCAGTGGAGAGAATGCAAGTTTAAGACACTTCCACATGAGCTTCACTTTTCAGAAGCTGAAGTTGCCGCCTGTGTTGCAGACTTTCACGCTATATTTAGGGACTTTTGGAGCTAGTGCTGCTAGCTGCTTTCATTGGAGGAAATAAGAGTTGTCAACACACAGTGGATGATTTAATAAATCTAGCATACGCTTCTCCAAATTACCAACCCAATTGTTAGTCATTTAATATTTGTGTTTTATATTGTTTCTTTTGTGTTTTATGTGCAGCTATATGAATATACTTTCTTGAGGGGTCACGATGGCCATAAAGAGGAATTTAAAAGTCTAAGTCAACTATAGAGAAGAGTGTGGTCCTCCAGAAGGCCGCTGTGCTGTTCTCTGATCAGGCGTAAAGACAAACGATGGGTAACGTCCTCAGAGTAGTGGTGGGTGCACAGCGTCACAGCGGCCTGTTCAGTTGGTTTAGTCCGTCTAGTTCAGCCTGTTTATTGGTGTCCGTCCTTCAGACAGCCCTGTGATCCTTTGACTACTGGTCAGACAAAATGCTGTTATTAGAAGCGCGTACATGTTTATTACCCGAAATAATCCGGTCACATGATATCTAATATGTATCCACACAGGAGGTCGAAGATGTTTTTAAAAATCAGAAAAGAAATGATGGTTTTAAATGAGAAAAGAAAAAGATAACGAATGTTTTAGGAGACTGTTTGAATTTCACTCAAAGTTGTCCGCAATAATTACATTTTGGGAATAAAAATCAGCATCTCAATGTGGAAAAGGTCCTTTTTGTAATTTAGTTCGGTTAAGCTGCTGTTATCAGTTATCAAACAACAACAAAGACTGAAGGTAATTGTCACGTTTAATCTCTATTTTATTAGCTCCATGTGGCATTTCACAATCCTGAAAGTTGAGCTCTGAAATGTTTTATAATATCTGCCTCATTTGCTTTCATTGTCATTT